GGTTCCCCAGCAGGGCTGCTGGTCTGATCCACCCTTTCAAACAGACCACCCAGCCCCCACCCCAAAAGCACCAAACCCAGGGCTGTGCCGATGCCAAGTCCACTAGGAGCACATGGAAACAAAGCGCTGGGCATGGGCACAGGGTACAAAGCCCCGGAGGAGACAGGAACGGGACACCATGGGAAGCCCGTTACGGGCTCACTGGGTCCTTTGTGCTGGGCGTTAGTGCTGGCCGCACAGCCGGCCACTCGCATACTGATCTGTCGAAGCCCGTCTAAGAGAAAACCGACTCCCAGGGCTGGGCCACAGGCAGCGCTGGCTAGTGCTGGGGTGAGGGGAAGAAAATTAGGGAAAAATATGAAGTCGCTGGAGAAGAGAACCTCACTGAATTTGGGGCTTTCGAGGCTTTATTTATGTAATATTTCTCTTTGAGGACATCCTTGCCTCTCACTCCCGGCCACCTCTCCTGCTTCTTGCCCGGACAAGATCTCTTAACCCAGAGAAGAGAGAGTCACAAAACCACGAAGTCTGGCTGGAAGTGACCACAGATCTCCCACCCCCACCCCAGCAGGAAGCTTTGGTTACGAGGCGGTGAGGCCACCTGGCTGCCACATCAACCCCACTGTCGCAAGGCTGCCCCGCACGTCCTCACCCATCGGCCAGACCCCGAGGTACCAGATGACAGTTATACCCTGCGTGTTTTCACTAACCTTCGCCTCTAGGTGAGTCCCAGGGCTGTTCTCTACACTCCTGCCTAGCCCCCCACCATTCTCTGACTTGTCTGAAGCCTTCCCAACTGGTGGCTCTACAGAATGGGACCCGCCTGCCAAACAATGGCCACACACCTTACCTTTGCACGTGTGTGCTACCAGTATGGCCTGACCTGCCTCAGCGGCTCCAGCCCTAGCTCCAGCCCCCCTGCCCTCAGTCCCCAACCCACCCCCTCAGCTGCTTTGCAGTTATGAAGGACAATGTTCTTTCCCAGCCTTGAAGGCTCACCGGCTCTCTGCACATGCTACGCCCACTGATGGCACCTGCCCACCTTCCTTTTCTGTGTCTGGAAAATTCTTACTCATTTCTCCAGTCTCAGCTCAAACAGTGCCCTCTGTGATGTGGGGATCCCTGTTCCTTGGGGCTCTTGTAGCACCACGCCGGGCTTTTTATCACCGTACCCATCGGCCTCCATAGAATTAACTCGGCTGCATGTTCATTTCCTCCACCAGACTTGCCCTTGGGACACATATTAGGAGGGAAATGCCCACATGCTCAGTAGCAAGCCTGCTTGCCAAAGCCCAGCTGTAAGCTCTGGAGAAAGATAATTCAGCTTGAGAGAAGGAACAGAAAGTTTGACTTCCTGGCACAGGGTTAGGAAAAGCAGATTGGTGCCAGCTGGACGTGTCCCTCTCCTTCAGCAAAAAGGGGGTTGAGGGAACCCCCCACAATTCCCCCTACAAGGGCCAGCCTTGTGGGCATGTGCCTATGCAGTGGCTCCGGGCACCACCCTCAGACAGCCCTGTGCTTAATGTTCTCTTAGAGCTTCAGAAGACAGGGATTTCACCCTGCATTCCTGATGTCCTCAAGGGAGGGAGGAGAGGACTGATTATGGGGTGTGAGGAAACCCCAGAAGACTGAGGTCTAACCAGCCCTGCACTCTCCCTACATCCTTCTGACCTGTCTCCCTGGAGCCCACTCTGCCTGCCTACGGGCCAGTGTCCCATCTGTGTCCTTATCGCCCATCTATCCCCCCTCAAGTCCTTGGTCTGGCAACAGGTACACATCTTTCCATACAACACTTCTTCCCTACCATTTAATTATAGCCACTTAGTGCACACAAGGCATCCATTCCATCTCATCAAACAGAAGAGGTGAATGGGCTTCCTCATATTTTACAGAAGGGAAAAGTGAGGTTAGATTACCCAAGGCATAGAGCGAGCTGTAGAAGACCAGGAATGAGGCCAGGTATCTTAGATTCCTACCCACATTCTCCCACCTGACGTCATCCCTGTCCAGTGAAGATAATAATTATGTAAAACACCAAGGGCACAACGTCAACCTGAGGAAGACTGAGGGGGCAATGTGTTGAGGTCTGCCTACTGACTGGAGCTTTTTAACAAGTCCATCTGGCACCCTGAGGATGCACAGGGCAGGGTTAGGAAAGTCCTCCCGGGTGATGAGTTGGAAGGCAGAATGCAAACTCCTAGAGGGCTCTGATAAGTCACAAAAGTTATCAGAAGCCAAAGAATGATGGCCGGTGCTGATACGTGTCATATAAATGGAGAGGGGGAGAGAGCTTACCGTGTCCCCAATCTTCAGGCCCTCACACTTCCTCTGATCGGGGTAGGATACACCATCCTGGCAGGTGGCAGTGAAGAAGAGGTTGAGGTCTTCAGGCTGATCCCAGACTGACAGCTCCACCTTAGCCCGGATGCTCTGAACAGAGAGAAGAGAGGAAGCCCAAGCCACTTAGTGAAGCTGCGGATGAGATGCTTCCACAGTGGTTCTGATGCCCATGTGGCTCCCTCTCGCTCGGGAGCCTCAAGCCAAGGCAAGAGCCCCCAATTCCCCTTACAAGGGCCAGCTCTGTGGGCATGTGCCTGTGCAGTGGCTCAGGGCACCACCCTCAGACAGCCCTGTGCTTAATGTTCTCTTAGAGCTTCAGAAGACAGAGATGTTCACTTCTGCATTCCTGATGTCCCCCAGGGAGGGAGGAGAGGATCGCTTATGGGATGTGAGGAAACCCCAGAAGACTGAGGTCTAACCAGCCCTGCACTCTCTGTCTTTCTGAGCTGGTTCCCTGGAGTCCACCCTGCCTGCCTGAGTGGGCTTGCTCCAGTGCCCCTTCCTTGCCCGTCTCAGCTCTTCCTTTCTCTCTACATCCACATACCCATCTTGCTAAACCTGGCCTGAGATCTCCCTCCAGGAGCTTGGAGATGTTGATAATGGTCCACCTGCCATATATTATTATCTGCTTCAAGGGGCGATGCTCTGTCCTGTTTGCCTCTCCAGTCACCTCTCATCCCACCCTCAGCTTCAGACATGCAGCTCCTCAAATCCGGCCCTGTGCTCTCCAGGCTTCGGGCCTTTACACCTGGAATAACATTCCTCTGCTCAATGGCTCTCCTCTCCTCTCCTCTCTTCCCCTGGCTGGTTCCTTCTCATCCTTCAAATCAGTTCAGCAGGCACCTCCCCAGGAAGCCACCCCACTGTTCCCCACCCCTACCCCCACCCCCATCCAATGATCTACCTGGATAAGGCTGAATGACAGTATCAGAGAATAACGTCTTTTGTATGGATTATGCTCTCAAAACAGAGACTAAAATGAAAATCAAGCCAATATTTCCCATTGGAATAAAAAAATAGCAGACTGAAAACATCAAGTGTTAGAAAAGATGTGGAGGAACTGAGGCCCTCGTACCCGCTGGTGGAACGGTGCATTGGTACAGCTCTGAGAAAACCATTCGGCCGTACCTACCAGACGTTAGGCCAACCTTAGACCCAACAAGTCACCCAAGGGTGGACGCAACAGAGATATGTACGAACCAGAAGACATGCACAAGAATGTTTACAGCAACACTGTTGTAATAGCTACCCGAGTGCCTATCAACAGAGTAGGTTTTGCTTTTAAACTGTGGTATGTTCACCTAATACCACACAGCAATGAGAATGAATAAAATATGACCACATGTCCCAACACAGATGAACCTCATAAATATAGCAATGCCCCAAAGAAGCCAGACACAAAAGGCACATATACTATGTGATTCTATGTATATGAAATTCAAAACAGGCAAAAATAATGGTTACCCTTGGGGGACAGTAATGTAGGAGGGCATGACAGGGACTTCTGGGTGCTAGTCATATTGTTGGTTTTTTTTACCTAGGTGCTGAATACTTAGGTGTATTTAGTGAAAAGCTTGAACAATTTTCTGTGTCTGTTAGTTTTAAAAATTCCTATTGGAAATCTCTAAGGAGGATGCACTTTGGAGACTGCAACTAAATAAAGTAATTGGCTTATTATATTTAGGGGGCACATTTTACCCCTCAATTTTTTTTTGTACACTTAGTACACTCTGTATAGTAGGACGTATGCACTCCAAAGAGACTCATGGACACATGGAACCCAGGATCAACTGATGGGCTGGTTGACTTCTCAGGTGCCCTCCAGGAACATGGCACAGAACAGAACAGTAGGCAGAACTGCCTCTTGTTCTCACGGGGTTTCTTTACTTCCTTTTGTTTTTGCTGAGCATGTAGTATTAAACTTGTATAAGTTAAATATGCAGTTTTCCTAACAAATTAACAGCTGGTAAAAATATTTTCTGTGAAAAAGTCTCTCCCTTTGCAACAAATTGTGCAAATGCATCTACAACTCTAAAAATACTTTGTCTTAAATTCACTTCCTCTTGTAAGTGGCAGCCTCAGCTAGAAAAGGGTTGTGAGAGCGCCACTCCTCACACAGGGCAGTCTCCTACTGGAAGTGATGAGCTATTTACAGATCTGTTTTGCCCACTGAGTTGTGAGCTCCAAGGGCCATATTATATTTCTCCCGAGAACTGTGCACAAGCTATTGTTGAATGGATAGAACGATGGGTGGTGTAACAGCAGCGACGCTAAGGAGCTCAGGCCTAGTGGGAGAAACTTAAATGAAGTTATTTCTGAAAGACAAGATAATTTTTTAAAATTTGTAATCATGAATAAATATGAGGATGAGGCAAAATGCTACGTCTTGAAAGGGCTAGGTGGGCTGGAGCTACATAAAGTTACTTGGGAAGAGGCATGTGAAGTATGGGCCTTGTGGTTCATGAACAGGATGCTGCGAGGGAGCATCAGCGCTGCCCATGAAGATCCTGAACCTGGGAGTGTTGGTGCAGAACCTGGGAGAGGGAGAAAGGGCACTGGGGACTGGGACTCCCAGTTTATGAATCAGTAACTATAATGGGTGGAAACTGAATTCTATGTCCTACTGTGGCCATAAGACCCCACAGCCTTGTGTTCTGATCTGAAATTTGTATTTTTCCCGATCCCACACATTCTCTAAAATCAGAAACTCTTAAGATATTAGAGGGGTAGGAACCATGGAGATTATTTAGTTCAAACTGCTCATCTTATAGAAGCGGGAGGCCAAAGAAAAGGGCTCATCCAGGGTCATCATCAACGGAAGCCAAAGAAAATGCTCATCCAAAGTCCCTCAGCTGCCAGAAGCAGGCAGGACCAGGACCAGGATCAGGACCAGGACCAGGCAGTCTGATTCCCCCACAGCACTCTCTATAATCACGGCACCCGATTCTTCTTTCTTGGAAAACTGGCTCTGACTGTGAAGAGTGTGGTCAGGTTGTGCTCCGCTTGTAGGGCCAGTCTTCCCTAAGACCATGAGATCCCAGAGGGCGGGACTGTGTTCTGTTCGCTGCTTCATTCCCAAGGTCTAGCGTGATGCCTGCCACAGCCTTTCGCAGGTATTTGCTCAATGAGCGGATGAATGAATAAATAGGAAACAAGACAGAGCAGAGGATCAAGGCCACAGCGCATGCAGTTCCTTCACAGAAAGACTGATGTGCGACTCCTGAAACTCAACGAGCTCCTACCAGTTTTGCTCCTGAAAATGATTCCTTACCCCTCATCCTAGGACTAGGAGACAATGTCAAGAATGTCAGAAGTTTGCAGGCTATTAAATACTCGGTCAGGCTAGGTCACATCTGCAATTGCTTTAAGTCAGGCAGCTGTGGGGCGGGTGGGAGCAGACTTTATGGCAACAGCAAAAGGAGAAACATGTGCTCAGCGAGGAAAAACATATACCACGGCCTCTGATGTCACCCTCCACATGCAACTCTAGTGGTTTCCAGCTCATTCTGCTCCTTCCCACTCAGAAGAGAGGCTGCAGTGCTTTCCCTCCGCGTCCCGCCTCCCCTTTCTGTGTGGCACGGTGCTGGTGCTGTGTGCAGCCGGGCCCGCCTCAGTGCTGGAAGAGACCGTCACCAGCACCAACTGTACAGCAAAGCTCCGCATCGCTAACGCCCCTGGGAGGATTTGCTGATCTCTTGTGATGAAGAATTTGGCACAGCAAGAATACTTTTATAAATCAAAGCCCAGAGTTGAAGATTTCTCACTATGAAAATTGCATATGACAGACTTGATTCTGCAAGACATTAAATTAAACATACCCTTTCCATTCTGCTCCCTCCTCGGCCGAGCTAAATACCACAGCAATTTCATCTGTTACACATGTTCCAACCAAAATCTTTTCCGAATGTCCCCACAGATGGTTTGCCAGCAACTCTCAGGGGTGGTAAAAGTCAACACCCCCACTTAGTCATGTGTTGCATGACTCATTTGAAATCCACCACGGTGGGTGACTGAGACGGTGAGGTGACACAGAAATGCCAACAGTCAGAGCTGTGCTTGGACCCCGGCTGGGGACAGAAGCAGGTGAAAGGAAAACTGGAGCCTCTGGTGCAGGCAAAAGCTCACCCCCGCACCATACACACACCACACACAAACCATACACACCATACACCACACACATACCACACACAAACCATACACACCATACACCACACACACACCACACACAAACCATACACACCATACACCACACACACACCACACACACACCACCACCCCACACCCCATACACACAACACACACAAACCATACACATACCACCCCACACACACACCCCATACACACAACACACACATCACACACAAACCATACACACACCACACACACCCCCACCCCNAATACACACCATACACCACACACACACCATACACACACCACCCCCCCAACACCCCATACACACAACACACACAAACCATACGCATACCACCCCACACACACACCCCATACACACAACACACACACACATCACACACAAACCATACACACACCACACACACCCCCACCCCCACACATACCTCCCACACCACACACACCCCATACACACCCCCACCCCCACACCACACACGTACCACTCACCCACACCACACATATCCACATACACCCTATACCTCATACAGAAACGATACACATAGCACACACACACACACACACACACACACACACCCCCACACAACCCCCTCACCATACATTCATACCATACACAGCACACACGATATACACTACACACACACGCACACCATACACATCCACCACACACACCCCCCCACACANTACCACACACACACCACACACAAACCACCCCCCCACACCCCATACACACAATACACACAAACAATACACACCATACACCACACACACACCATACACACACCACCCCCCCAACACCCCATACACACAACACACACAAACCATACGCATACCACCCCACACACACACCCCATACACACAACACACACACACATCACACACAAACCATACACACACCACACACACCCCCACCCCCACACATACCTCCCACACCACACACACCCCATACACACCCCCACCCCCACACCACACACGTACCACTCACCCACACCACACATATCCACATACACCCTATACCTCATACAGAAACGATACACATAGCACACACACACACACACACACACACACACACCCCCACACAACCCCCTCACCATACATTCATACCATACACAGCACACACGATATACACTACACACACACGCACACCATACACATCCACCACACACACCCCCCCACACCAGAGGCCAGTGCTAGGCTCACATCTAGGAGAAGTGCTAAGGACTGAAGTCCAGCCCAGGCCTTCCATGTGCCAGAAACACTGGCAGCTGGTGAAACAGGCACTAGTCAGTGTCCAGCACCAGCACACCCCCAACTTGGCCTCCACCAACAGGGCTTTGGTCCAAATTCCCTGCCATTTCACATTTCTGTATTTAATATCTTGCTTAAAAATTTCCACTGAAGGGGGGATAGAAGTAGGCAATTACCAAAGGTCCCACCTTTTTGGAGTGACAGATCTCAATACCTTGACTGTGGTGATAGTTTTGCAGGTAGGTACATGTGTCGAAACAAACTGTACACTTTACATCTGTACAATTTATTATTCGCTAATTATCTACCAGTAAAGCTGTTTTAAAATTTCCCACTGATTTTGACTAGTCATTGTTGATGGAATTCCAGAATTTCCCATTTGAAAACAGCTGAGTTTCAAATGTTCATTCATCTGTTGTATGTCTCAGTCCCGAATGTGCTCTCTTATAGGAATCGGTTTAACTCAGACCCAGGTTCCAGTGTGGGGTTCCCACAACTCCTCAACAGATTCTTCCTGGGCTCCAGATGCAGCTCCTGCCTGGAAAAGATTATTTTCTCTCCTTGTCCTGTCCTGACTCCTCAGCAGCAGAGCGGGCTCCCCATTCCTCTCCCGACCTCCACCCACCACACCGACAGAGCAGGTTTGCCCAGGTCCCTGGATTTCTATAAAGAACACAAACTACTTATCATGAATCCTGCTTGGAGCCTGTGCAACATGTCTCAGAGGAAGACCGCCACTAGGCATTGGAGATCCCCACCCAGGGAACCAACAGCAATGCCTGGTGTTCCCCGGTTTTTAGGAGCCCCACACAGGGGTGGACATGCAGAATCACTTAGCCACACAACACTGCCTGGCAGAATGCTTCATTTCAGGCGAATGCCACCCAGCCAGCGCTATGGAACTGAGTGTCCCTGTGTCTTCCTTTATGAAAGCCACGAGGAGCAGAGAGCTCGGGCCTTCCCCAGGAAATGCTCTTGGGGGAGGGCCAGAAGTCTGTCATCACCCCCAGTGGTCTGGCCTCAGGGGCTGAGAAGGGAAATGCTGGGAAGTGGCTCCTCCCCAGCTCAGGAGAATATCCTCACCTCACCCCAGAGCTTGAGATGTGGTTGCTCTTCAGCCATTGCTCCCTCCACGGCCCTGGCTCGGCAGGAGGCAACCAGAGAGCAGGTCTGCCAGCAGCCCCTCTCCTAACCCAGGCCCAGGCCCCCCAGAAGGATGGGGAGAACAACCCAGGCTGGGCTTCTGGCTCTCATTTTAGCTTCTTTTAAGTTCAGTGTCCAGAGCTTGTGCCCAAGAGGTTCACGGTGAGGCGTGGCCCTGGGAAAGAAGATGCTACTCGGCAGGCCAGTCCCCCCCTCGCACATGCTCTCTTCTCAAACCCTCTCTCAGCCTGTTACGTTTCCACTCGCTGTGGCAATCTGAAATCGCTGAGTATAAAGTCAACCTGGAAACCCTGTCTTACGGGGTTCTGGGTTCTGGGTTCTGAGGAGGCCCAAGGGTCCGACAAAGATTTAGAGGTCAGAGATCAGAAAAGAAGATGTTAGTGTATGGGGAGTGGTGTGGGAGAAGGAAAAGAAGTCTAGTTTCTCTCAATAGGGAGTTCAGGGTGGGGAAGAGTCGGGGAATTTGTGACCAGGATCCTTAACTGTAACAGAAAGTGGGGGAAGGAGGGAAAACCAGCCACAAATCCTCACTGCCCCCCAACTCACACCAAAGCCCCAAGAGACCGAGGGGGGCTGGCCACACCCCCAAGCTGCAGGGCTCCTTCAGGGCCAGTGGCAAGAGCATTTCCTATGGCTCCTGGTCTAGCTGAGCAGAACTCCTGTCACTCAGAAAAGGGCTTCAGCAGTAGGCTGAAAAAGTCAGCACTGGGAAAGGCTGAGATCCAAATGCTCATCTGTAAGGCAGTCACGGTTGGGAAAGGTGGTTTTTCTCACCCACGTGATGTCACAGTGGTTAACTGGGTGCCCAGGTTGGCCCACAGACGTCTACTTTACATAAGTTTAAGACCAATAGTGCTACTTAAACTATACTTACTCTACGTGTAACTTTGTTTTAACAGGAAGATACACTCTGAATCCTACTTGGGAATTACCTGGCCCTATGAAGGAAGGGTAAGGTGGGCACTGGAAGCGACAACCCTTCAGGGGCTCAGCAGCAAGAGGACAGTGGACAGACAGTACATTAACACCTCCCAGCGCAGGAAAGTGTGCTTGCATTTTCCTGAAAGAAACGGTAGGTCTGAGTCAAGAACTTCTTGGGTATTGAGAATTGAGGTAGAGGGTAAAAGGGAGGGAAGTTCAGGGATCACCGACAGTCAGCTTGGGGTGTGGAAGCGGCTCCTAGCCCACAGCTGTAGGTGCTGTACTCACTGTAACTCGATGATTCACAACAGCACAGAATTTCACAGGCCCACTTGGGCTCCTCCAATTACAATCAGGTCGTAAGGCTGTGAGCAAAGACCTACCGCCGATTCTTCTCTGGGCCTTCTATCCAATTCAGTCTGCAGCTCTACGCTAAGCTCCATGAGCCTGGGAATTTCAACTGTGCGGCCCACTGAAAAGTGACATCAGTGCTTCTCCCCACAGGGAGCACAGCGGCGGGATCGCCCAGCCAACTGGATGGGTGGAGAGCATCTGCACCCACCCAAGCGAGGTGCTCCGATGGGACCCGGGGTACCATGCAGTCAGAACCCACAGGCTGAGTTCCACTGAGCACTCACAGGGATCGGCTTATGAGAGTCAAGCTGGCAGAGGTGAGGGAAGAGGGCTGTCTCTGGCAGGATGGCCTTCTCCACCCTGTATCTCAGGAGAAAGGCACCAAACTCAAGAGGCAAGAGGCGGGGAGCAGAGCCGGGCACGCCAGTGTGGTGCGGCTGCCCGCCTGAGGCCAGTCGGCTCCCGAGGCCTCAGCGGGAAAGGGCGGGGGAGGAGGTGCGGATCAGGAAGAAACTGATGACTTACATTGTACGCATTGATAATCAGCTGAATAATATTTTTGGAGTCTCCATGTAAAATCTCCACTGTTGTTCCAGGTATCAGGGCTGTAAAATTCTTGGGGGGAAAAAAGAAAAAAGAAATAAGCCCATCTGCCTTTCCATACCATCAGAGGGAACCCTGCTCTAAAACAGTGAGGGGACCCACACTCGCCTGCCACTCTCACTCCATAAACTGGAGAGGATGCCACAAGGAAAGGAGGAAAGAACTGGCACAGGGAAACAGGGGCCCTGCCGTGGGCTGTGCAACACTCACTCCCGAAGGCACAGATCTGTTCCTACAGGATAAGCCATGCTCCTTCTTGGAGAACCCCCACCCCCGATGTGACAGACAACTCTGAAAGTCCATCCTCCAAGGTCAGCATAGTCTACCATATTTCCTGCCATCTCTCCCCTAGTCTACACAGGTATTCCCAGGATCAGCTCAAGGATGCCCTCAACCTGTTCAGCAGAAGCAACGGGAAATTTTTCAAGGGCTCACCGCCTCTTTCCCTAACAGGGAACGGCGATGTGAATGGTGCCCTGGGGTATCTCTGGGTGAAGTCCTACAACAAAGCAGGCAGCCTTGAAGTAGCTGCCTTTTGCCTGTCAGTTGTACTAACACCTGAGCGTGTCGCTTGTTAAAGTAACAGAAACATCTAGAAACATCCACCCCCCTCAGCCTGCCTTGGACTCCTCCCTGAGCAAGGTGTCCCTGGTTCTGAGCAAGGACGGCTTAAGCCAAGGTGCATCTTCCCTCCTGTGCACACCCAGCACAATGTGCGCACCTGAGCCTCTAAAAATGCTATTTGTAAAAGGACATGTTTTATCCTGCTATCGCCTATGAAACAAAAAAAGAAAAATAATCCTCTTCTCTCATTTTCATCTAAAATTGATTCGGACTCAAAGAAGATAAAGAGCTCAGGGACTTGTAAATGGCATTTTATCGGCAATAACCTCAGGCAGGAGTAGAAAAACGTAATTAAGACAAAGGCTCTTTGTGGGTATTTAGAGCGGAAAGGAGAGGAGACCAGGGATGGCTGTTCCAGGGGTGGGGATGAGGTTCCCATAACCTCTCAATGCCGAGATGTCGGAGGCGAGCTGGGCTTTACGTTTAGCTTACACGCACTCCCTGAGACTCGGTGGAGGGCCCTAGTTCCCAGTGTGATCGTGGGAAAGAGCACATTCACGAGGGAGCTTATGATGGTCCATGGGATGACCCGAAAATAGTCTCTTTTAGACAGAGCAGGTTCATACACAGACTGCTCTGTTCACTCAAGACACTTATTGTTTCCTGTGGAAGTCCTGGTCTCCCGGACTCTGTGGGCAAGGCAGAAAAATTGGGGAATACTGGAGTCAGTGACGGAGCCTGCTTCCATGCCTTCGTTTTCTTTCTGTACATTTTCATTTTATGTCGTCCTCCCCCATGAGAGTGTGCCCCGTGTGTTTCCATTTCATCATCTGAAAAGTGGGAATTCATATTTCCCAAGTTTTTCTCAAGATTAAATTACATACGATATGTTTAAATTCCTTGTAAAGGTAGGTACTGCTAGGTGAACTGCTTAATACTAGTATTTTCACCAGAACAAGACAGGGCTATAATCCACCCCTCCTCTGGCTCTCCCCGCACACAGAGTAGGGCCGTGAACACTCCTCGCCCACATTCTAGTCTCCCATTCACCTTAGGGTCAGCATGGCCCCCAGACTCAGGACACCAGCTTCCCTCACTCCCTTCAGGTGTACCTTGTAGAGCATATAATGGTTTTTCGTCACTGCAAAGATGAGGTTGATGTTGTTCTCTGCCAACTTCTCTCCAAGCAAGGCGAGGGATGGATAGTCCTAGGGCCAATGCAAAAGTCAAGGCTGTAACATTTCAGGCAGGTTGAGGTACTACCAGGCTCCAGCATGCACTCAGTAACTCATCGCTTCCCATGAAAAGCACCTTCCCCTGGCAGCCCCTTCATCGCCAAGCCCATCAGCAGCTTCCACTGAGGGAATGTGCAGAGGATACCCTCCAGGAAAGGACCTCTGGCACCTGCCAAATTAGATGCACCCCTCCCACCCCAGAATGGAGAAGTGATTCATGGAGGTTTCCCTACCTTTCAGCAGGGAAGGGGAAGAGTTGGGAGGTCCCCCAAAAGAACAGCTAGCACATCCTTCCATCTACCATCAGCACCCACTGCCTTTCCTCTGTTCCTTAAGACCTTCCTTCCCGATCTCCTTGTCTGACTTTCCCTTTCCCAGGCCTCACGATTGGGCCTGCCAATGCCCCCCCCACATCCTGCTGAGTCCTGCTCATGGCTCGGAAGGGCAGAGAGGTTGCTGACCTCTGCACTAAAAGTTAGGCCATGGCAGGGGATGGGGTACAAGCAGGGAGGGCAGGAGGAGACTGAGAGGCACTTTAACAATGTCCTGAAGGATTTTAAGGGCTAATGATGGGTACAGGGACCCATATCAGTTCTGTAGTTATCAGATTCTACAGCATGAGCCCTTTTTCCAGACCCCACTATTTTTGGATAATATGGAAGGCTTGGACACTGGACAAAATGGGCTTGTTCGGCAAAGAAAATTAGAAAGAATTCCTTTCTAGTCAGACACCAGAATGGATTTGGGAAGGAAGAAGGTATAGATTTATTTTATTTTTAATTGAATAGTACTTTAATTGAATAGATCTTGGTAACTGTTGGGTCTGGGTGATGGGAATGTAGGAATTCATTTCACTGGTCTATTGATCATTATATATGTTTGAAATTTTACATAAATTCTTTTAAATTATATGGTCTTGGTCGTAGATCGTTGGGAGTGGAAGGTCCCTGGGGCCTCCTATTCCACGCAGGATGCCCTCGGCCCCACTTCTGACACTGACGGAGCCCAGTGCCTCCAGGAGCTGCTCCTAGAAGTTGGGAAGCTTTGGCTTGGCTTGTCCTGTAACTTCTATCCCAGATTTGGTCTCTGCAGGAGCACAGTTCCCACCCTCCTGTAAGATCACCTCTCCTCTTTGAGATTTATCCTGTCTCCCCAGGTCACCTCTTCCCTCAGTGAAACACTCCCATTTAGGTGCACAAGGGCAGAAAGATGACCCAGCAACAGAAATGCCTAAGAAATGCTCTGAGTCAATGAGGAGTTCTGGAAGCCCAGCTGGAGAAGATGGAATAATGAAATCCAATCCCAAAAAAGGATGGGAAAGTCAGTGAGCAGAGGGCCAGCTGAGGATTTCATGGCCAGGTGAGCCCTTGGACCATGGGCATGCGCAGGGTCAGAGCAGAGCTGGGGTCCCGGCCCTCACCATCTGGTTGGACGCAGTGTACTCATTGGCCTCGTTCAGGTGGCACTGGCCATCGTGCGGCTGCACCAGGCCCCCCAGTTTTCCATCGAGTGCGATGTGGGGCACATCGTCCGTTGTGAAGACAAGCAAGTGCAAGGCATCCTTCCGCCAGCCAATCTTCTCCTGAGGAACAGAGATTTGATGGGTGCAAGGCCACCCTGCCCAGGGCTTCGGACAAGGCACTGGCCCATCTCCAGGGCACATGGTCTGAATCAGAAGCATTCATTCCTGTGTACCTGGGGACACTCACAAAACCACTGGAGAGGAACCCCACAGAGCTCAGAAGAGACACAGCCTGGACTGGGGAACCCTAAATACGTGGAGATACATTTCCCAGGCTTGGGCATCCAGGTCCATGTGCCTGGAGCCTTCCCTCCAGCCCATCGTTCTCCTCCCTGCTCCTTCCAGTTCACACCTGAGGGCTGCCTCCCCTTCGAGCCTCACCTGTTCTCCCCTCCCCAGAACAGCCCCTCTTCCTCCGCAACCTCTCCCAGCACACTTGGGTGGGCGGGCTTGTCTAAGGTGACAAGTAAGTGAACACTTCAGTCCTCAGGTTAGACTGAATCACTCAGAATGGAGTGCTCAAATGACCAGCCGACAATCTGTCTGTAGAGCATTTGGTAAAATCTGCATCCGTGCTGGCAGGATGGATCTGCCATCCATGCCAGGAGTGTGAACCACTCCCATCATTAACTGAACCACTTTGGTGTTTTAGTTCAATCAGATAAGCTCTTTTCTACCTTTACTGCTTTGCTACATGAAATACATCCACTCTTCAGTCGGAGGCTCAGCTAAACATCGTCTGCATTGCAATGGAAGGTCTCTGTTTTTAATGTTTAGCCACTACGGCCCCCCAACATTACACAAAAACACTCCCATTCATTTTTATTAGGAGCAGCTAGACCCTGACACAGAGAAACAAAAACTGAGATATGGTTGCCGTCTTGCTAACAGTGAAAGGGCATCCCAAAACACGCTGGTAGCAGGGTGAACATATGAAGGGCTTAAACACTGTTGAGAGTTATCGACCCATGCACACTCGGTACAGTAATCAAGACTGGATCCACAGACTTAAGTAAAAGCTATCGCTCTTATGGCAGGTGAGGGGTTGAGGGTTTCTTCCTCTCTGTCTTATCACCATAATGATGGATAAAATAGCCTTCAAGAGCTGTGCTGTTTTCTTACTTGCTCCAAAAGCAGCATGGAAATAAAATAAAATAAAAATCACAGAAAGTCAGAGTAACATGAGGGAGAAAGGGGTTTGAAAAGAGGCCAGCGAGGACTGAAAGCCAGGAGGCCTACGGCGAGTAAGGAACTCAGTCTTTTAGGGAATCAGTTTCCTTGACTCTCAACATTCATCCAACATATACTCGCTGACCTCCTACTGTGTGCCAGGCCCCAATGAAGGCACTGAGTCTAGGCAAAGATTTCTTAGATAAGGCAGTTCACAGGATAAAATAATTGATGAATAGGACGTCATCAAACTTGTTGGATATCAGTCGTTTGTTACTTAAAAAACTTACAGTCAGCCTTGGCCAGTGTGGCTCAGTGACTGGAGCATGGGCCCACTCACCAAAGGGTCACAGGTTCGAGTCCCGGTCAAGGGCAAGTACCCGGGTTGTAGGTTTGATCCCCAGCCCCAGCTGGGACATGTGCGAGACACAACCAATCGATGTGTGTCTCTCACATCACTGTTTCTCTCCTCCCCAACTCTCTAAAAATCAATGTAAAAAATATCTTCGGGTGAAGATTAATAAAAAAAACCCAAAAAAGGAATTCTGAGACAGGCACAACAATATTTTTACCAATAGTGACGAAAAGGGAGAGACATAAATATCCTACAATTCTGGAACAGTTAAGTAAACGGAGATAACTCCTCTATGGCCATGAAAAGTACGAAATTATGTGTAAATATGTATGATGTAAAGTGTAAAACGAAGAATACAGCGCTGCATCTGCAAACTATACAGGAAACAAGCATTGCTTTCTACTAAAAGGACAACAGGACATATTGAAACAAAATACACCATAGTAGTGGGGTTGGGGTTAAGCTTATGGGCGATCTTTTTTTTTTTTTTCCAAATTGTCTTTAACTAGCAAGTACTACTTTTACAAGACAGCTCTGAATGGTGTTTCTGCCATTTAGCTGTTTTTCCTCTCCTCTTCTTCCATGCCAGCTTCTTGAGGGACTTGTGGGGACCTAAAGGAGGGTGGTAGGGGGAGATAGAACAGCGTGGAACCTGGGTGCCTGAATACGAGCACTTGAATTTTGTGTTAACCCAAATTACCTGTGTAGCTTTGACCAAATTATTTAACACCTCAAAAGCGTTCTGCTTGTCAGTAAAACGGGAATACTAATGCCGAGCATTCATTGCTCACCTCCATTATTCCATTTAATCTTCACTGCAACCCCTGTGGGGTAGGTACTGCCATCCTGAAGATGAGGAAACTGGCATTCAGAGACCTTACGTAACCAGCCCAAGGTCGCTGAACTAGTAAGGACGCGAGAAGCTATATTCAGATTGCTTGTCTCTTCCCACTAAGCTAAACTACCCGATCACGTAGGGAGAGGAGGGGAGGGGTGTGTGTGTGTATAATAAATGTGACAACTCGTGAAAGGACACAGTAGGCTCTCAACTAATGACTACCAGAACCCAAATAAGTGCTTGTTGGATCTAAGGGTTGAATCTGAAATGGAAACAGCTCCAGAAATGAAGAGTGGCAAGGCATAACAATAATAAATTCTGTTTTCTCTGAAGTGGGCCCTGGTTATGTAAGTGATGTGAGCAAACTTGGCTGAGAGGTTGGGCTACAGAGAGTGAGTCAGGACGGCCTATTTACTCACTCAGGCTTTGGGGCTTGGAGATTTTACAAGTGGTGACTCCACGAAGAATTTATATTCAAAATAACTTTCCTACTGTCTGCCTGGTCAGCAGAGCTATCTGTTTTCAAGTCTTAAGTTCTGTACCCCATGTTTGGGGCAGAGGGCAACAGTGGAAAAGTAAATTTTTATTTTTTTAAAAAAAAAAGGCAAACACATTTTAAAAAAAACAAAGTATAGCATAGGGGCCAGAGTGTGCGAGCTTTGGAACAGACAAGGCTGAGTTCAAATCTTTGTTTTGCCCTAACTGCGAGACCTTAAGTTAACCTCCTCCCCTCTCTCAGCCTCTAGTCTGTCATCTATAAAATAGAGATAATTCTACTTTGCAGGGTTGATGCTAGGTTTAGACATAATTCATTTAAAAGTACTTAGCACAGCCTGGCCGGGCATGGCTCAGCGGTTGAGCATCAACCCAGGATCCAGGCGATTGGGGTTCGATTCCCAGTCAGGGCACAGGCCTGGGTTGCGGGCTGCAGCCGATCAATGACTCTCTCATCATTGATGTTTCTCTCTCTCTCTCCCTCTCCCTTCCTCTCTCTGAAATCAATAAAGATATATTTAAAAATAAATAAATAAAAATAAATAAAAGTACTTAGCACATAAAAAGATCTGTAATTATTATTCTAAGACTAGTAATAATTTTTACATTTCTTCGCTTATCCTTTTACTATAGTTGTTACAGGGACTATGAAGTGGTACATACCACAGAGTTTAAAAGTTTTGTATTAATTAAAACCACAGTGAGATTCTACCACACACCTAATAGAATGGCCAAAATTAAAAAGGTGAAACGGGTGAAGGGGGTGGGTGTCAAAAGGTACAAACTCCCAGTTATAAAATAAGTCATGGAAATATAATATACAGCATGTTGACTATAGTTCATAATACTGTATTGCATATTTGAAAGTAGCTAGGAGAGTGGCTCTTAAAGTTCTCACGACCAAAAAAAATTTGTAACTGTGTGGTAATGGATGTTGACTGGATTTATTATGTGATCATTTTGCAATATATACAAATATCGAATCATTACATTGTACTCCTGAAACTAATATAGTGTTATGTCAATTATATCTCAATTTAAAAAATTAAAAAGACTAACCACACCAAATGTTGATGGAAATGTGGAAGAAATGACAAAGATGTTCATCACCTTGACTGTGATATATATACACACATACATATATATATCCCACAGGTGTGTATATATATGTCAACATTTTCAAGTTGTACACTTTCAATATGTATAGTTTACTGTACATCAATTATACCTTAATAAAGCTTTTTATTTTTTAAAAGAAGGTTTGATTCGCTCAGAAAGTTATGTAAATATAATAAATCACATGAACAGATTGAGCATTAGTAATGTGCTGGGAAAAGCACTTATACATGTTACTTGTTCTGGGGCAGCATCCGCACAGCAGTGAGTGGCCTGGACTCAGATGTCTGGCAAATCCCAGTTCCCCCCACACCTGCCTCAGCTTGTCTTTGTGACCTTAGGCAAGTTACTTAATCTCTCCCAGCTCCCGCTTTTCAGCTCTAAGAAGGAGATGAGAAGAGTACCCATAAAATAGGGTTGTTGAGAGGATTAAATAAAATGGTGCACCCAGCTCCGTACCCGAGCGTTAAGTAAACAGTCAAGAATTGACAATTTTTGTCATCGGTGTTCCATGCAGTTGAAAAATCTGTGACTTGAGTCTGCAATCCAGAAGCACATAATCTTATCTTTGGGTTGCAGGGTTATGGGTGATATTTATGTTAAATTTTAAGAAAAATTTAAAAAGACCTAAACTCTTCTCCATGTCTCTGAGTAAAAACAGAATTTTTAAAAGCCAATTTCATTCAAGATGAAAGAGGTCACCCCTCAGATGAAAATGTCAGGGGTAGGCGGGACGGAAAGTTGCGGGACTCAAGTCTGGCCAAGGCTGCAATTCACTTAACTTCTCTTTGTTCCCTGGTCAAATCTGCATCAAATTCACCACAAGGTCTGTGTCAGCCTTTAAACTTCCCTTCCCACACTCACTCCAGGAGGTGACTTGGTCTTTTTTGTCACCAACAGAGAGGAAGGTAACAAGACTTGCCTCTTGCCTGTTCCATCTCTTACAGCGTCTGACTCCACAGTCCCAGGATGCCCCGTAAATAAAGGGGCCACCTCCTGGCCTCTCCTCTGACCTTACTGAAGAAGTGCTCCTCCTTCCCCCAGGAAACACAGTCCCCAAATTCCACCCTCTTTAGAGAATTTGTT